GGAGGAGGTGACAAAGGCAGGAAGAGGAGGACAGGTGACAGGAAAACAAGGAGAGGGAAGGCCAGAAATGGTTCCCTTCGGGGCACACAGCCTGCCCTGGACAAGTCCTCGTGGACCAAAGAAGCCTGCGTTCAACTCTGGGAGACACCAGGGAGACGGCGCTGGTGTGAAAGACAACAGTACCTGGGTGCAGAATGGCTGGAGACCCAATCCCTGCTCCCCAACTCTGCCAGCCATGTGACCCCAGACCCACTTCCCCCAGAACACAAGTGTGTCCTCCTTATGAGGCCACTGTGGGGCCAAGTAAGATGTGCCCCAGCCTTTGGTTGGACTTGAATCCCAACCTTTCAGTTAGCAGCCAAGCACGTTAACTATTTGCACTACCCAAGGGAGCCTAGCACGTAGAAAGTGCTCACGAGATATAATCTGTTTTCTCATTCACCTTCAGCCCCCGCCTACAACTAGAAAAGGCTGTCTCAGTTTTGAGGCTAAATAAGAATCTGGATACAAGAAAAACTCTGTTCATGCATTATTACGTGTTTAGCCTCCAAGTAACAAAGAAATTAATGCTATTGAATATATTATTCAAAACTATTAAGGGCCTGTTCATTCATTCATTCATTCATTCAAAAAATATTTGTTGAGTGTCTAATGTGTAGCAAGCATTGCTTGCAGCACTTCTGGGAAGCTTCATGGAGCTAGGCACTGTTTAAACAGTCACTGCCCCTAAACTGCTTTTATCCATCATCCTGTCTTTAAGTCCCTGTGTGGTGCAAACAGTAACGCACTCAGCTACTAACCAAAAGGTTGGAGGTTCAAGTCTTCCCAGAGATGCCTCGGAAAAAACGCCTGGTGATCTACTTCTGAAAAATCAGCCACTGAAAACCCTAAAGAGCACAGCTCTTCTCTGATACACATGGATTTGTCATGAGTCAGAATTGACTCGACAGCACAACTGGACTAAACCAAAAGTTAAGAAGTTTTCTGAATACAACCAAATACTTCGAGGGACAGAGTAGCAGGGGTAGGGGTCTGGGGACCATGGTTTCAGGGGACATCTAGGTCAACTGGCATAAC